TCACCAGGAGAGGCAGGTTGTTGGGAAAGGACATCATACTTGGGAGAGGTTGAGGGTCAGAGAAGGAGCAAAAAATCCTTAACCAAGACAAACTAATGCAGTGACTACAACAATGGGATTAAGTACAAAAGAGATTGTGATGATGGCACGAGGTTTCAATCTACTGTACACAGGGTCACTATGAGTGGAAGCTGCACCTAACAACAACAACAGTAAACATCTACACTAATTCCATCTCTTTAACAAGAATAACACATTCTAAAAAAAAAAAGAATAACACATTCTCACACGGGATTAAAATCATAGACATATAGGTTAGGATTTACAATATATTGGAGAGGAAGTCAACCCATAATATTGTACATTTGGGCTCCCTTAATTTTTTGTCTTTGCCACATGAAAAACATACTTACTCCATCACATCATTCCAAAAATTTTACATCAACTCCAAGTCCCAAATCTCATCCTTTGAACCTACTGATTCAAATTTTCAAATATGGGTAAGATTTCAGGTAAGTTATATCCTAGACAAAATTCCTCTTCATCTGTGAACCACCCGATGAAAACCAGATCCAAACCTCGCCTTATCCTGCCTCAGCTTTGTGATTTGCACCATCTCAAGTACAACACTACAATCACAGTATCAATTATCTCACTGAGTGTTTTCCTTCTTGCTTTGACCCTTTACCCTTTCTCAGCATAAGGTTTTTTCCAAAACTGGCTCCTACTAGCAACATGTCCAAGGTTTCACCATTCTTGCCTCTAAGGAGCACCTTGGTTGTACTTCTTCCAAGACAGACTTGTTTGTTCTTTAGGCAGTTCATATTCAGCACTCTTCACCAACACCACACCAAGATTCAGTGACTATTCTGTACTCTTCTCCAACACCACAATTCACAGGTATCAGTTCTTCTGTCATCCTTATTCACTGTCCAACTTTCAGTTGCATTGTAAACAATGGAAAAGGCCATACTTGGACCAGGCATACCTTCGTCTTTAAAGAGACTATGTTGCTCTTTATAGCACTTTGGAGATGTCCTTAACAGGAGATTTCCCCCATGGAACACATCTTTTGATTTACTGACTGCTGCTACCCTGGGTGTTCACTGTGGGTCCAAGTGGATGAAATCACTGACAAGTTCAATCTTTCCCATCATGATGCTGCCTACTGATCCAGTGGTGAGGAATTTTTATTTTTTAATGTTGAGATGTAATCCACATTTAAGGCTGTAATCTTGGATCTTCTACACTTTCAACCCGCAAGGCTGTGTCATCTGCATAACGCAGGTGCTAATGAGTCCTCCCCCAATCTTGACGCCGGCTTCTCAGATATCTGCTCAGTATACAGATTAAATAGGCATGGAAAAAATTTACAACCTTTGCTGATTTTTAAAACACGCAGTTTCTTTGTTCTGTTCAACTGTTTCTTGGTTTCTCTATATATGATGACAATTAAGGGTTCTGGGATTCTCATTTTATTTCTATTACAAATGGGAGAAACTGGGTATGTGGGGGGGGGCACTAAGCCCTTCTTCACATTAGTTGTAAAGACGTGAAGATAACAATATATTCTTTGTGACAACGTGACGTGGGTAAAGGCCCAGCCCTCGGGACTCTTGGTGCTGGCCATGTTCTCTGGATTCTGGGTGGGGCTTCTCAGCCTGGGCTTCAGCTCCCCCATCCAGGCCCACTGGGAAAGTCACTCTCAGCTTTAGGCAGCCACATTCTCCTGGTCCACCTGAGTGGTGGCTCATACCGTTGGTCCTGAGAAGTCCAGCCTGCTGCCTGTCCATGGCAGCACACCCCCTCAGCCTTGGGCAGCAGCTCTATCCCCTGGCATCCATGAGCAGCAGTTCCAAAGCCTGGAGCAGAGCTGGTGAAGATCTGACTCCACCGTTTAAAGATTACGCGCCTGGCCTCCCATGCTCCCAATGGTTCTGCTGATCGCCACTCTGCTCTAAAGATGGTTCTGTTCTTTTCTTGGCCATCCTCACCCTCTCTCATATACTTAGGCCCATTGTTACAGTCACTGTTTCAATCCTTCTCATTGAGGGTCTTCTCTCTCTCTCAGACCCTGTACCTTTCTAAGCATGATTTCCTTTTCCAAAGACCAGCGGCTCCTAACAACATGTGAAATGGATTTAAACACAGTTCTGAAAGTTCTTTACCACTCACTGCATTAAAAAACAAACAAATCCTACAAAACATTACCCTTCTTCCACTGTCCAATCACTTGTTTATAATTTTCTTTAAAAGCCTGACCAAAAAAGCACATTTAAAATGTCCATATTTCTAGAAACATTTTATTGCTAGTGTCATAAGTATTTTCTAAGCTAATAGACTTTCTCTATAGCTCTCCTTACTTCTTTGGAGCCCTCACAAGAGTTGCCTTTGGCATCTATAATTCTACCACCGGTCTCTTCAAAGAAATCTAGGCTTTTACTATTATTATTCTTATTCACCACAGAATTGGAACCAACTTACGGCTGACCCTCCAGCAAATTTTTAGAGGCTATAAACCACATGGGAAATTGAACAGCCTTCTCCCTCAGAGCAGCTGGTGGACTCAAACTCCCTGCCTTTGAGTGGGCAGTACAACTCTATTGACTAGGCCACCACAGCTTCCTCTTAGGAGGCTTTAAAACTCGTCCAGCCCCCCGCCCCCATTATTCAATTCCCAAACTCCTTCCACACTGTAAGTAATAGTGAAAGCAGCACCCCACTTGGTGCCAACTTCAGTTTTAGTTACTCATTGCTGCCATTACAGAAATACCAGAGTCGGGTAGCTTTAACAAACAGAAATCTGTTTTCTCAGTTTTTAAGTCTTAATCCATGACGGTGTTCTAAGGGAAGGTGCTCACTCTCCATTAGCTGTGGAAGAAGCCCTCACTCTTTAGTTCCTTGTCAACCCTCATGTGGTACAGCACCTTCCCATGCCTGCTTTTCTACCTTGCTTGTTTAATCTCTTTTTTTATTCTACAAGAGGTTGATTAAAGATACAGCCTACACTAATCCTGTCTCATTAATATAACAAAGACAACCACTGTCAAATAGGATCTAACACTAGGCACAGAGATTAGAGTTTTTAACACTTATTTTTGGTGAATACAATTTAATGAATAACGACTGCCCAGCGAAAAAGAGAAATGAAATCCTGATGCCACATTGTGAACCTTGAAAACATCCTGAGGAGCAAACCAAGTCATAAAAGAGTAAATACTACATGAGATCACATGTATATAATAAGCAAATACAGAAAACCAAAGCTTATTTAGTGGTTATCAAAAACAGGATGGAGGTGACCAGAGGAGTTTTTACAGGGTACTGAGTTTGTGTTCATAGATAAAGAAAAATTTGGAGGAGGGAGCTCTGGTGGCCTAGTGGCAAAAAGCTGAGCTGCAATCCCAAAGGTGGGCGGTTTGAATTCACCAGATGCTCTGCTGGAGAAGGAGGAGCAATCTCCTCCTGTGCCACTCAGATCCGACTTACAGTATACAAGATGATTAAAAAAAAAAAAGGAAAAGTTACACAACTGGAAAGTAAGCAGTGTTCCTGAACTGAACATATAATAATTGCTGAGAAGGCATATGTTTTCTAATGTATCTTTTCACTGTTGTTATTGTCAAGTGCCATAGAGTCGCAGGCGACTCATAGCGACCCTATGAAGGAAAGTGCTCGACGCTTGGGTGTCTTTCATCCTCTCTCCAGGTTCACAGGGTTTCCGGAGGCAAGCTATTATGGAAGTGGATCCACTCCTCCTTCCAAGCTTGTTTTAATCGGGGAGCTCCACCCCACTCTCTGTCCGCATGGGATAGCTAACCATTAACGCACTTGACACACCAGTCTCACGGTATTCAGCCTCACAGCATCCAAAAGTGAATGCGGTACGGCAACTTGTACACCAGGGCTATACGACCTAGAGGAATGTCTGAACAAAAACAATGAAAGCCCCTTTTGGGCTTGAAGTCTGTGCTGCCGCCTTAAACCCTAGGCCAAGCCTGGCTTGCCTGGCTCCTGGAGGCAGAGTAGTCCTTCGCGTCCGAAAACTGCCACAACCCCTGCCCAAAAAGCACCATGCTCTCTGCTTGCCGGGCCACTATAGAAATATATTAGTTAGGAAATAAGGAACAGATTTTTTTTTTTAATAGGCACATTGCTTTTAAATAATAAATTGGTTTTTTGTTTTATTTACTAGAGTGCAAATGTAGTCTGCCACTACCACAAATTACGCAGTCAGGTTTGCTGCATTTGGGGAAATCACAGGGATCAGCACATCCAGAATGTAATGGATACACCTCGCCCTGGAAAAAACCACCTGCATGATCATGGCATTTCCCCTACCAGGTAAGTTTTACATAAAATAATAAATATTGCCAAATTTTTGCCTTACTTTCAAATACGATTAAATAATCAGTGATGGAGCCCAAAAGAACAAAATCTCTCGGTTCCTTGACAAACTTTAAAGAAAATAAAAGAGTCATGAGATACAACAATTTTAAGAAGTCCTTGGAAAGACTTACATATATGCATGAAAATTTGTCATTAAGATGCCCACTCTAGAGTTGTTTTGTTGCCATTGTTAGGCATTGAGCTGGCAACAACTCATAGCGACCCTATGAAAACAGACACGAACCCTGCTTTATCCTGCACCATCCTCACCATCTCTGATCAATGAGTCATTGCTGCCAATCTACTTCATCATGATGTCTTTTTCCAAGGACTGGCCCTTCCTAACAGCATTGCTTCTGATGAGATCATTGAATTGGCGGTTTTATAAAAATAAAAAGGCTATTAATGACACAAGATCAACAGAAATGAATACTGGTACCTCATAAAAAGTTTAAGAATGTGCTCTTATCCAGTGACAAAAACTATCAGAAGAAAATCTGGTTCTGTCAGGATGAACACACACCTGCTGTAAAGGCAGTGAGTCTTAGAAAATAACTTAGTTGTACGGCATTTTCACCACTATCTTTTCTAACTTAATGCCTTATCTTTACCTCTACTACAAAGGTGTCAATAATGTGCTCCTGGGGAAGGAACCAGTGGGCGACTTCCTCTTCATCCATCACTGGAGCTAGATGAAACTGCTTCAGGTAACTGTTGATTAGTTCTCGGACCGCTTTGATATCTTTTTGTTCCATTGGTCTCAAACCTGAAGTCTTCGTAACCTTGTTAAAATGAACACAAAAAACAAATTTGGAAGTTTAAGTACAAGAGCATGCAGACATACTTCACTACTGTAACTGTGGTCTGCAGACGGTACCCAGCACAAGATTAATGTGTTACCAAGACAGGCCTTTGGCTCTATCCCAGGCCCACTGAACCAGATCCCATATGCATTCACTTCTGAGAAGCACTGGTTAGAACACAAATTAGACAATGTGTTGTATCAATCTTATCTATGTGGGCTAGGCATATTTGACTCATATCAAATCAAAGGGAACACTCACTACAACTTGATCTATATAACTGATGCCAAGAATTTTAACAATCTTCTTGATAAAGCAAAGCAAACTTAGCACATGTTCTGAAGTATCATGTTTTAAAACTCATTAAGTGCAACTTTCTAAAAACACAGCATAGTTAAGAAACTGGTTTTATAGCATATCCCATGAGAGGGATGCAGTAATTTGGTTCTCTTAACAATAAAAACTATATGAAAGTAAATCACAGCTGTCAAGATACAAAAGCAAGTATTTTCTAAAAGTTATTGGTTACTAATACTAAGCCTGGCCTTGCCTGCCAGGTGCTCATGACGTACCCGAGGCAGTGTGTATATTAGCATTTCCACTCCAGAGGGGTACAATTTTTAAGTCAGGTCACACGGAGAGAAAAGGTTAGGACCGGCCCCTACTAGAAGATATTCAATTACTTGTCCACAAGAAATCTCCAGACATCAGTTGGCTTTTTTAGGTCTGACACTAGAGCACTTGTAAGAGGTAAGAGAGTCCATTCCATGCACTGTTTTGTTAACACATACACAACCTTGAGAAAAAGAATTTCATTTTCCCAATAAATGTGTTGCCCTTCCCCACCTATGCCCTTGGAGATACTAGATAAAAATTTTGAGGTGAAAAGCCTCAATATTTTAGATATTGATAAAGCAATATCTAAATATTGCTACTCTGTATTTTCTGCCCTTTCCAAAATTATTTCCGAGTATTTTGAAATTTAAAAAAATAAAGCAACCCTGAAACCTTTTCAGCAGGAAGTAGCTAAGAGAATACGCCATCCCCTTTTCCTTATGAATCAGGGTGAAGTCTCTCCCAGGGAGGAGTGATAGGGAATGGCAAAGGACACACTGACAAAGAAGATTAATCAGAACTGGCTTTGACAAGCAATGTGGCAATTGGACAATTAAAACAGACTTTCAAGGGGGGAAAAAAGAGGAACGAACTGGGGGGGAGGGTAGAGAAAATAGTGCAACAGTGAATGAATGGAAACCCAAAATCTCTGTAAATGTTCATAAAAATAAAACTTAATTTAAAAAAATAAAAATAAAGCAAAAAACCCAAAGCAACTGCCTGCAAAATTTAGATCATGTCAATCTCTACATGATTACAGACTAAAACATGGCAGAATCCCAAGGGAGAAGGTTTGTAACTTGTGTGATTTTTAGCCTCTAAAAAATCCAGTGGATAGGCCTTTTATTGTAAGAACTCCCTTCCCTCTGTAACTTGACTGGTGCCACTATTAGAGCCTCTATGTGGAATATTACTGCTTTTCAATTTTTGACTCATGTACTTTTAACTTGTGAGTTAAATTTGTGTTTTCTAGGCTGCAACACTTCCATGTTACATCTTCAAGGATATGAACATGCACAGCTAAGCACAACTGATAACAGTGCATCTAAATTCCAAAATCAATCTCCATAACAGTCTATGTGTTTCCTACTGCCAAAGGGGCCCTTTAGAGTAGTGAGAGAAGATCTTCACCCTGAAACCCACAGCATCCCTTTCCAGCAGGAAGTAGCTAAGAGAATACGCCATCCCCTTTTCCTTATGAATCAGGGTGAAGTCTCTCTCAGGGAGGAGTGATAGGGAATGGCAAAGGACACACTGACAAAGGAGATTAATCAGAACTGGCTTTGACAAGCACTGTGGCAAATGGACAATTAAAACAGACTTTCAAGGGGGGAGGGGAAAAGAAGAACGAACTGGGGAGGACGGTAGAGAAAATAGTGCAACAATGAATGAATGAAAACCCCAAATCTCTGTAAATGTTCATTAAAATTAATACAATTTAATAAAAAAATCCAGTGGAGGGTAAGCTATTCATCGTTCCAACTCGTAGACAAGGAGTGAGTGAGTTAGCAAGACTAAAACTAGTTGCCTGAAGTCCCAGGCTGAGGTTTCTATGAGTCGGTGACTCATAAAGAATGTGGCTTGATATTGATTATTAGTGGGGAATGGAGAGAGATGTGATGATGCATGCTTTGTACTTAGATCCAAAAGTTCTTAGCTGAATGTTACTATGTGTTACTGAATCAGGATTTATTTATCTATAAAGGGATGTGTGCGCATATCTATATCCCACCACCATCAAGTCGATTCTGACTCCCAGTAAGCCTCTATGAGGTTGAAAAGAGTCCTGGTGCTGTGGTGTGTAACTGAGGCTGCTAACTGAGAGGATGGCAGTTCCAACCCACCAGCTGCTCCAACAGAGAAAGATGGACAGTCTCCTTCTGTAAAGGTTTATAGTCTCAGAAAGCCACTATGAGGCGGAGCGGTTTATAAAGATAGAGTGATGTAACCCAAAATACAGGCAAGTTTCTAACTCAAGGAGAGAATTTAGGTCCTTAACATTAAGTAGAAAGCTTTGACTTTTCCTGTTTCAGTCGATGGCAAAGCCTTTGAAATATCCAAGTCCCAATAGCCATCTAAAACTCCGGAATGAACAGAGTAGTAGCATCCTGTTTATCTGCTGAGTGAATGAAAATACCTGCATTTTATGATAATAATTTACCCTGGAAGGTGAGGCAAGGCCTTTGTGCAAGCCAGGTGTGAAACTGTACTTTTCCTTTGTCTCTTTCTCCCTTAGCCAATTTTAACATTTACTAGCATTTCTAAAATGTAAGTCATGGGAACCTATGCAATTACCAAACACTTTTAAGTAAGATAAATATTAATTCCTAAATGTTAATAGGAAAGCCAAATCAGAAGACTGATTTTAACAACTATAGTTTAAAAAACCAAAACCAAGCAAGAATTCTTTGTGCTACAAAAATAACCAAGGTTAGATAACCTTTCTCAAAATCCTAAGTTTTTACTTTTGCTACTGATTCCAGTAATAACTGGCAGTATTAGAGTCACTAACTAAAGTACCAGGATACTTTCTGTTGATAGAGAACATTCATAAATGAGTAAAAAGTTGGCCTGCGCCTTTCTAGAGCAAACTATTTTTTTTGTGGCACAGTTCTCACTCACCAGACAATAATTCTCTGAAATCACCACAATTAATAAATATACCCTTTGTCTAGTAGACATCTTTAAAACAGTAATTCTCAGACTTTTTCCATCTCAGGACCTCTCTACACTCTCAAAAATTGCAAAGTACCTGCAAAGAGCTTTGTTTATGTGGGCAACAGATACTCAATGAGGCACCTTGGCCAAGTCCATGGGGAGCTTCACGGCAGCCCAAGGTGGCACCTCTCCAGAGAGTGGTTCACATTCACTAGTTCACATCTGTGGGAGAAAGACAATCTCCTCCCATGTGATTTACAAAAAAAAAACCAAAAAACCCAAACCTATTAGAGAGTCAGCTCTTAATTGGTTCTGACATAGGAGTAATTATTTATTGGGGTTTTTTTGATGGATAGTCACATTTATCACACTAGAAATTAAAACTGAGAAAAACTTGAAAACAGAATATGTAAGCACACAATCAAATAAACCTCTTAAAAACTCCTCTGTATATTTATAAGAGAATGAAAATGAGGTGGAAAAAAGGAATAATCATCTAATGTTGTTATGAAAATAACAAAAGACCTGGGTTTCCAAGGGTCCCTGGATCCCACTTTCAAAACCATTTGTTTTTGATATCTTTTTTTTCTGTTTTTTTCCCTATAATTATATTTTATTAATTTTCATAAACATTTACAGGGATTTTGGGTTTCCATTCATTCACTGCTGCACCATTCTCTCTACCCTCCTCCCAGTTTGTTCTTGTCCAAATGCCACAGTGCTTGTCAAA